GATGGGGAGAATCACTTCCCTTGACCTGCTGCCCACACTTCTTTTGATGTGGCCCAGGATGCGATTTGCTTTCTGAGCTCCAAGCGCACACTGCTGGCTCATATTCAGTTTTTCATCCACCAGGACATTCAAGTCCATCTCCACAGGGCTGCTTTCAATCCACTCACCACCCAGTCTGTATCTGTGCTTGGGATTGTTCCAACCCAGGTGCAGGACCTTGCAATCAGTCTTGTTGAAGACTGGCATAAATAATGCATCATTTCCTAAGAATTATTAGTTTTGTGATGAAAAATGTAAGGTTACAAAGAACAACTTTGTGTGTCATCAAGACAGTGTGTATTGTAAAATACACAGAGGGATGAAGTCAAATTGTGCAGGTACTACAATTTGTGGCACTCTCTATATTATGTGTACATATTTACTAATGCTTAAATTATGTTTTTACATATGCCTTTGAAATAAAGTGAGCATGATATCACAGTCCTATGGAGCAGCAAGTGTGGGCTGTCCTGCAAGGGAGTGATGCTGAGAGCGGGGGAATGACAGTGACTTCAGTGACAATGGACACTGTCCCACAGCACTCATGAGAGAAGCACAGAACAGGTCGGGGGATGGCACACAGAGCCAGCCAACAGTTCAGTGGTTCCCAGACAGGTCTACAGTAAGGACACACGTCCTGAGATCAAGCCAGGAAGTCAAATATTTGGGTCGGGGTTGAGGCCCCTGTAAGCAAGGTATAAGGTCAGGCACTTGCAGCATCACCCAGATGAGGACCAAAGGTGGGAGCCTGAGCTTAAATACAGCTCCTGAGCTAGGTGGGGGACCCCCAGCAAGACCCCCATATCTCCCTCTCAGCTCTTTTCACAGCAGTTTGATCCAAAGTCACAGCCCTATCCTACCAGAGCTGACCTCAAGCACAGGCAGGCAGTCTGCAAAGTGTGTGTGTGATGTGTGGGGAAGTGGCAAGAGAAAGTTCATTCCTGGCGCCAACATGATGACACGATGTTCCTAAGCATTCTCTGGTTAATTCTCTTCTTTGATAGGTTCTTTTTTTCTGAGAGGTTGTTAGAGTCAGGTATCTTCTGTGGGTATTTCTCCAATCTCACTTAAAATGTACTTTATTTTTGTCATTAATATTTAAAAACTCTTTTTAATAGAAAGAAAATTTAATCTTTAAGATACTGGACTGGAATGCAAAAAACCTTGTAATTCATTTTTCCTTTTAAGTTATTTCTCTGGGGTTCTGCGTAAACCTTTCTGCTTCAGTTCTCCTTTAGAACAAAGTAGAACATTGTGTTGCTTTTCACCCAGCCTTATGTAACTTTAAGAATTAGATTTTCTTCCACCTTAAAGTGTAAGATAAATATACTAAGGGAAAAAAGTGGTATTATAGAACTAAAAGGGAGAAAAAAACGTTATATTTAAGGCAAATTAAACTGTTACTAGCTCAAAGCTATTGACAGCTTCTAAAGTATTAAACATATATCGTGTTTTCATTGTTTTTAGTATGACTCCAAGATTAAGCTTCATAATCTTATTTTGTTTTTCTTTCTGATCTGTAATAACCCATCTTCATGCAATAAAAATTGTCAGATATATTGAAGGGCCAAAAAAGGCTTTTCTATAAATAAGGTAGTCCTGGAGGACTGTGTAGTCTGCTGGACTTGGCTGTGATACATCCAAAATCTCAAAAATATGATTAAGGACCTTTGGTTTTTCAGATATATACTTTGAAAACTAGGGATTTAATTAAGTGTTTTGATCAGTGTATGTGAACATAGAAGAGTTGAGGTTGTGCTCGTATTTTTTTTTCACTGAAGCCATAATTCACATGCCTACATCTTCAGAATATCTAATTTTATCATAAATTAATGATAAATCATTATCAGGAAAATATCTGTGGTTGAAGCTCATGACTAGAGCTTAGATGTTGTGGTTTACCACTTAGTTTTGCCACAGATGTCCTATATTAACTTGGTCATCATTAGTTTTTGTCAAGAGAGGGAGAGAATATGGAAAGTATGCTTTTAAACTCCTGTTCCATGCGCAAGTACAGTTAAATGTACTAAATTAAAATCAAATCTTTATCAGGAATAGAAATAGGAAAAATCTGACTTTAGTTACAGTAGTGTAGCTCTGACCAGTTAATTGGACCTATTCCAGTTTCACACCATTGTAATTAGATGTAGACCTTGCTTTGTTCTATGTGGTCTATTTTTGAAACAAGGCTTTGATATTCAACCATATTTGGTGCGAAAACAGAAATATTTTTCTGTGTTTGAATTCATAGGCTGCCATGGAAAATACAGAAGAACCTTAAGGAACAAGTGTTCTGAAGCTGTCCTCAGTAATGAAGCAGGTGTGAAAGACAACTCCCATTTGCCAGATGAAACAATGACTGCAAAATCAGCAATTCTCATGTTAGTGTGCTTTCTTCAACTATGCATTGTGAATGGGCAAGCAATATGTGAGAGGCAAATGACTGCTGAATGGAGAATGGAACCAAAACCTAATGTAATAAAATGGACACTAAGGGAAAACATCTGCTCAGACTTTTACACCGAATGCTGGAATATGGATAAAAGTATTATTGGGGAAATCTTGGAAGAACAAAATCTCAGTATCCCTCAGATATGCCCCTTACAGCTTCAATTAGGCGATAGTCTTTTCATCTCCTCTGAGCCATCCTTTCAGTCCTATGGAATGAATTTGGTAAATGTCTCCAAGGAAGAGTTTATTAATTGTCCTAAAGCTGATCTTCTTCAAGAGCAGTTGATTTTTGTTTGCCAGATAAGAGGACTGCACCAAGTTGACCCTAACTGGCTTAGTGTTGGAACTCATTACTTTGCAGAGCTTCGTAAGAAAGGCCCGTTATTGTGCAACATGGGCCTTCGTCTGAACATAACCGTGAAGCAGCAGTTTTGCCAACAGTCTCCAAACGCACCATTATGCTCCGGGCATGGAAAATGTCTAAGCCATGTTTGGGAAAAAGCATATAATTGCCATTGTTTCTCACAGTATTCTGGAAGATTCTGCCAGAAGTTTGATATGTGCTCCACTAAACCTTGCCACAATAACGCCTCCTGCACTGAGAAATCACAGCTTTCTGGAGATACTTACAAATGCATTTGTCCCCCAAAATTTTCAGGTATTTCTTTTCCCCTCTAGAAATACATGTTACATAGGTAATACATTTTCCTTAATGGATAGTAAAACAGTGAGAACACCATTAACAAGTTTTTTGTATAATATACTTGTTCATTGCCACTTCCATGCCTGCACTGTCTCTTTTACATGTAGTCACTTACAGGAAACTGCACAGTCGTTTGAAGACAGTTTGTACCTGCTTACATTCATGTGTTCATTGTGGGGAAAAACAGAATAAGTTCTTATCACACTTCTTTTGCACTTAAGCATTAAGACATAGTTAAATACTTGTGAACTTACAGAAGTAACCACTTTTTGTTTGTTTCTTTGTTCAGCGGATCAAGTTCTTACACTAAATAACAAATCTTTTGGAGTAAGGTCCCCAAAAAATCGTTAGTTAACACTGCTGAAAAACAGCAAATTTTTTTTTGAAATGAACATTTCATTCAACCTGCCTCAAAAGGTCCCTTTTAAGTTTAAAGACTTTTTAAATTACATTAGAGAAATTTTTAAAATCAAAATTTGTTTTTAATTGAAAAGTCAAATATTTAAATAGAAGAGCAAGCAAAATGAAATACTTACTCTTTTCTTTCAGATTGCTTTGCACTGTAAAGTTCCTTTCAAAAGGAGTTTGCTAAACATACTGCTATCAGAAATTTCACAAATGAAAAAAAATTCAACAAAATCTATCTAGGAAATATTGCGGTTCTTACCCAAAACCCATTGGAGCAACTGAATCTGTGTCTGGGATTGCAATACCAGAGAGTACAGCATGATTAGATACATTTTTATCAAATCGTTATCTACATTTCATGGAGGAAGAAAAGGGGAAGAAGGAAATTACGGGTATATTGTACCTGCATTCAGAGCAATGGAGTTTGGGAATCCTTTAGGAAGTACCAGAAATATTAATTCACATCACAAAAAGAATTGTTGTAGCTCTTCCTGTACTTGTGGAACAGAATTCTAACAATGTTCCTTTGATGGACTGCACTTCTGTGCTCTTGCAATAGCAATGCTATGCTATGAAACACAGCTGATGAGTCAGGAATGAGTGCAGTTCATAGAACAGAGAAATGAAGGTTATTTTGCATAAAGTTTGCTGTAATTTATTTTTAATTGCTTTTCAGACTGCATAATAGTTTGGTTACTAATGCATTTGCAAACAGACGATTATGCAGGTGTGAATAAGTCGATGTTATGAGAAAAATAGTTTTTGTAATTCTTCAAAGTTTAGTAAAATATTGGAAAATTGATGGTACGTAATATGTTTTCTATTTCTTTTATGATTTCTGGGGTCTGCATAAAATACTTTGAAAATTATAATATCAAAAGTGTCTGGTACTAATTTAATTCAAATTAATGGAGAGATTCGCAAGTAATTCTGTTAAAAGCAGTCATCATGCTTAGTGTTACCAACAAGCAACGCTTAAAATATTCTGTTAGTCTACATGGGACAGCATTGGCTAATGCCATGAATTTGTACCAGCAATACCAGTCCAGTAAATAAGCTGCATGTAAACAAGAAGAACTAGGAGATTAAACCATCATATACTATGGACATGGCTGCACAAGAGTGAAGGAGGAAAGAAGTGCCTCCCATAATATAAAGTCTATGAGAAATTTGAAAAGTTGTTGAAGTGTGAATAATGTCATAGCAACAATTCAAGTGGCAAGCATAATTATACGGTATTTAGACCCATATGCTGTAATAGCATAAACAAATTCTAATTTGAATTTTAATTTCCAGAAAGCTGCATATTAAGAAAAATTCAGTCAAATTGGATTCCACGTGAGAACATTCTTTGTTCGCAATGCTAGAAGAAGTTGTAAACTAGATTCATGTCAAAAAGAAACAAACACTACAGCATTAATAGTATCTCTGCTTTTTAAGCTATATGTGAATTTGTAACTATGACAGATGAGGTTGAGTATAGTAGCTCATATTACAACAGCTGAATATCCTTCTGTCTTGCTTTAGAAAGTCAGCATTTTTAGCGAAAACTAGTCACCAACATTAGCACAAATACCTATCTATCTATTCACTTATTCATTAAATAGAATGTTTCATTTTACACATAAATTTAACATTTCAGGAAAAATATATATAGTTATATGTAAGTCCAATGTTCCTATTATCTTTTTAAACAGGTAAAAATTGTACAGAAATAGTTGGACAGTGCCAGCCACATACGTGTTTCAATGGTAACTGCAGCAATGTCACTCCAAACACTTTTCTTTGTGAATGCGACAAGGGCTTCACAGGTAAAAACCACCTTTTTTTTTCCTGTGTTATAATAACAGTTTCCTGTGTTAAAATAATTGTGTGAGCTTTTGCTTTATTGAAAGAGCTGGTTTAGGTGATTGTTGCATGGTTTGCAATTTCTTCAGGGATTTTTTTAAACAGGTCTTGTAAAATAAAGAAATCAGACTTCCATGTGACTATTGTAAAATACTCGTGTACTAAAGTAAAACTGTATAAATGATAAAGGCTTTTCCTAATTGGATCCCATCCATGAGTACCTTCCTTGTATTGGCAGTATGACAAAAGAAGACTCGCAATCACTAACTCACTTGTTCTCAAATACAGAGTTCACAAGAATAGGATAAGAAGCTCTTGCTGGATGATTTAGAATGATCATGACACCTGTATTCATAATTTCAGTATCCTCTTAATAGTTGTCCTAGAAAAATAAGATGAAAATATTTTAGAGAGTCAATAATCTCAAGATTTAGTGCTGTGCCTTGATTAAAAAAAGCAGCTCTCGGAAGCTAATCAGTTTACTTTTGATATATTGGACAAATAAAATGCTTTCATGAGAAAGGCTTGAGTCAGAAAATGTACCTAAAGCCATCCTATTGTAAACACTTTTTCTTGGGGGTCAGGACAGTAGATAAACAAAATATTATCAATTCATGTACTTCACAGCAGATATTTACTGTGTTGGTATAAGAGGAACAGCAATACTCAGAAGAACACGCCTTAAGAATGGGCTAAGTATAAAGATGGCACTTGAATATCCAAGGACAGTAAAACTTTTGAAAATGTCTCTTTCTTGGGAACATCAGTTATCCCTGACAATCACTGAATGTCAACAAATCATTACATTGAGAAACAGAGTTCAAAGAAAAAACAAAACAAAGAAAAAAAAAAGGCATGAGGTTAAAGGGATCCAAGAACCAATCTTTATCTTCATAGTGAATGACTGAACATTCTTGTTGACATTTTAGTTAAGTCTGTGTAGAACTATAATATTAAAAATGGGATAGACATATTTAATTCTAAATTCCTAGTAAATTTGTTTTATATTACTCTCCTTTTTCTTCCTTTCCTCACTATAGAGGTCATCATGGTCAGCATCATTCTGAGAAAACTGAAAAAACCTCTTCTTTTTCAAAGGAGGAAAGTCCATTAGTAAAGTTTTCTAGAACAAGCTTTTCCCCCATGCATGGTCTATATCTTTTTAGAGCACTTACTCTTGTCCCTTTCACCCGAATTGTAAGGGCACATTGCTTTTGAAAATTTCTCCGCAAAAATCTTTTGTATCCTTGAAATTTTGACCTAATGAGGGAGAGGAGAGGAGGAGGCAGGAATAACACCCTTCCAGATACAATAAACCCAAAACCATAATGACATGAAAACGATAGCTCAACTCTAGTGGATGGCAGCAACTATTGCAATCTACTCTCCAGGTATCTAGTAAAGATTGCAAAGCAGAAAAGACGGCTGTGACTGTGATTTAGCTCCCTTTTTATTCTTGAGTTAGCTAAAAGAAAATAGAGAATCCTTTCTTGTTTCTAAGCGTAATATCATCACAGGAGGAGAAGGCAGACTGGGGAATTCACTTCTTTTTTCCTGCTCTGATGTAAATTGCCTCAGGTCTCACTGTAACAGGAAAGTATGTAGTACATCAGCATACCTTGCAACAGGACTGATGACTAACATACAGCATAATCTTGTAATTATTTTTGACCAAATGTTGGTTTAAGCCTACATTCCTTCCTGTGATCCTGTGTAAAAATGTTTGCTAGCATTAAGGCAATTTTGAGAATAGTTACCTAAAGAAACCCCAACCCATGTGAAAACAATTTTTCTATTGTTACGTCATTGTGGCTGTATCGTGTTCTCACACAAGATGACTTGTGTAATTACGAATCTTGTATCTCGAATGCTATTCTAAGTGTGTGAAATTGGTAGCAAATTCAAAATATTCCTCTGTTTTGGTATTGAACTTGTAAGCAGAAAACCCAAACATAATACTAAGATTGTGGAAATGATGTTTAAGATTTTATAAGATTTGACATAGCTTTTTTCCAAAATAAGGTAAGACACTAGCAGTAACTAGTTCCCATGATCTGAATGAAAGTATGAAATATTCTTGTTGCCGTAAATTGATGAGATGTAAATAAAATTATAATAAAATTATTTTATATTTATAATTATTATTTATAAGTATTTATTCAAAATAAGTAAAGGTTGTTTTGATCAAGTTATTGTGTTCACAATGATAGAATGGATCTTTAGGACTAGCAATGTATATATTCATGTCAGTTATGTACTTTTATTTTTTATTAATTGTTTAGTTCGTTCACTGAGCTCTCAAAACTCTCTTTGCTCTTTCCTGAAAGATCATTTTTAACATAACAATAACAAAAATCTGACATTAGGCATGCCATTATTCTTATGATTGAATACACCATTTCATACCAGAATTTGCACCCTTAGACTTAGTAAGGAATGTTTAGAGGAAGGGGGTCTGGGCAAAACAAGGGTGGGGTGCGTATAGAGAGGAAGGAGGTGTAAGGCTGGTAGTGGCAGCGGATGGTCAGTGCACTTGTCTGACCAAGCCCTGCACCAAGTCACTGTAGTCTACCTGTTCTTATCAAATCCTTTATTAACTCCCTTTTCATGTAATCTCACTCTCTCCCCATCTGTGAGTGCTGTAAGGTCTAGATACCAGAGACTGGACAAATGACAATGACTGGATCTGGGGTTTCTATCTGGAATTAGACCACAGGTTATAGTGGTCCTAATGTATGTGGTGCCAGCAGCTGGAGTGAATGAGGGTCTCAGCATCAGCAGTTGAAGGGAGACCACAGATCGTAGGAGCTTGTGTTTGCAGTTAGTGAAATTAGAGCTAGTGGTTGGCATCAGACCCTTGGGTGACGGTGGCTCCTGTGCCTGGTACTAACCGGAGCAGGTGAGAGTCCCAGCATTAGCAAGTGGAGAGAGGACCAAGAGTGATAGGGCCTGTGTGCCTGGGCACGAGACACTGGGAAGACCAGAATGTTTATGTTTTCCCCTAACTTGGTGTGTGTGCATATGTGCACATGTGCATGTATGCGCATGACTGTATGTTCATTAGCAGGCTTCAGGCTGGACTGTCTGGTGAGTAACAGACCTGGGATCTGGGCATCAATAATAGATGAGCTTAGGTCCCACACTAGTATTCAAGGGGTCTGTGGATGTGTCTGTCCTTTTGAACTAGAGAGTGTGTTTTTGCTAGTGATCTTCAAACCTGATCAGTCAGAGAGGATTATTGGGATTTTGCTAGTTTATGTGATTTCTGGTAGTGTTATATATGGGTGTTGTTATATGTGTGGTGCTACCTGTGGGCATTCTATGCAGTTGGCTATGTTAGTGTCCTCTGCATGTGTGTGTCTCTAACATACATGTTCATCTTTGCTACTGACTGAGCCTGCTAACAGGAAAGCAACAGCTGCATCCATTGGCCTAGGACAAAGGGACTCCCAGGTTTGAGAAGGAGGTATCTCAGGCCCCAGAATCCACCAGAGGAAGTGCCTTTTATACGTCCCCACCAAAGAGGATGTCTTAGAAACTCTGAAGTATGTTTTGGTCCAGTTTTGAAGCTGCACAGAAAATTAAGTGACTTATTCACAGCCCACCAGAAACAGCAATATCTTAACTACCTCTGTAATGGTAGTGCTTAGAATGCTTACCCTAGACAGTGTTTGGGAAGATGGGAGGTATGAGAAGTGATTAGAAACCAGTCCTCTGGAGAGCACTTTAGGTTATTGCGTTTTTTCACATTTTCCTATAAGGAAGACCTACATTTCTTGCCTTCCCCAATAGTCCAATTAGCCTCTTTACAGGCTGTAATGGGTTCCCTTCTCGCTTGCGGGACAGGAGATACCATAAGAATGAGGTGGTTTTGCTTGGAGTCACTTTCCTAGAGCTTCCATCATCCAGGTGTTTTAGTTTAAAATGGTCTGTTCGCTTTATCAGTAAATTACAGCCAGAGTACTTTGAAAAAGGTCATAATTGCTAAAGAACTTCACTATATATATATGGAGAGAAGAATTTCTTGTTTGTAAAATTAGTATTTTAACAGCCTAATAGTTCAGTTTGTCTAATACTAACACTCAGCCCAAATTAATATACAAAGCCTTATTAATAATAACCCTAAAATATTATATAAAAGCACCTTCCTATTATCTATTTCGTACTTTGGTATTATGCTCAGCTTTCCAGTTCTCCTTTTGGTCCCAAGAGCAATATATCAATCCCTCTCAAGAAGAGGGGGCAAGTCTTGCAGCAAGTCATCAGCATCCTGAGGTCTTTGTCAGGAAAGTGGCATTCAGGCTGGAAGTTTCTCCCCTGTCAGTCAAAGGTCCATTTCAGCCTCCTTTTGCATGTTTTCATATCATTGTCTGCTTTCTTTTATCAAGCTACAAGCTGCATCCTGGAAGTGGTCCCCAGCCACCCCCACAAAGGCCTATGGTTTGTCAGGCAGTGACTGAGGTGGGGATGGGGTCACCCCTTCCCCAGAGGGGCCATTCCCAGAGCTGAAGCTGGAACAGGGAAGCTAGCAGTCATTTGGCCCCTGTTCAGGGGTAAAGCAAACCAGACAAGTCCTGAGCCCTTACACTGTCAGGTCATCACAAAAGTCAACCTGAGAAGGTAATCCTCCCACAGAATTTGTTTTTTAGTCTTTCTCTAGGTGGTCTAGGGGGCAGGGAAGATAGCAACAGGGATGTGGGAATGGGCAAGAAAAGAGTGCAATTAGAGATTACGTTTTTCCAGGCTATTTTAGTCTCAATTTGTGATCTGTTTTGTTGGGTTGGTTTCTGGGTTTTGTTTTTTGTTTTTTTTTTTTTTTTTTTTTGGTTTGGTTTGTGGGTTTTTTTCAGCTAACTATGGTGTAGTAAAACAGTTTGTCAAGGATGAGAGTTTCCTCAGTGAAAGCTGTAAACTATGGGGATTATGATCTTTAGTTGTAAAATCATTGTGTGAAATAATCCCT